GGGGGGGGGTGATATTACAGAAAAGAAGTCGAGATACACGGTGACATGAACGCGCTGCCCCGCCAGGGAATCGTCCATGAGGTACTTCCGTTTGTCGCAGATTCACTCGGCAAGTTACAGGAGAGCTCGGCGCCTGTGAGAATCGGGGTAGGCCATCCCGCAGTACACGCATGCACTGCAGGCATGACGTTGCCTACCCACCAGGCGCTATGAGAGCTTGCCTTGGCTGAACCTGGCAGGTTCGTAACGGCAAGTGGAAGTGACGGACGGAGGTACTACTATGTGGACGATTCCCCAGGACGAAGGGAAAGATGACACATTCACGTGGTGCCTGACGGTTGTTTCCTCCGCGAGGCCTACCTTAGAGGAGTCCCAGGCGAACTTATTCCAGTCGTCGATGGTGATGGGGCCCACGGGCTTCTCCGGCAGGGAGCGCTGCCACTGCGGCGGCAGCTTGGTGTTCTGCAGCGTCCATCTCTGCGAGTCGAAACAACAAAACATCATTTTTATTAATTTTTATTTTGGTGTGTAGGCGAGGCGAGCGCGCGCTCACGAGCGCTTTTCGGGCTCTCCCTTCCTGACCCTCCTCCACACGACCGAATAATAGCCGTCGATCGTAGACGTAGTGCTTTTGTACTTCCGAGAGCTCCCTCCCCCCGACTCCTCCCGCAGCGCCAGACACCACATCGCGCCCTGGTGGCGGAGGGGGGCGCACCTCGGGGGTGGATGTGCTCGGGCGGTTTGGGCCGCTCCGGCCGGGGTGGGCGCGCCGTGCTAGGCACCAGGGGCGCACGAGCTGCACGAGGCGAGCCCGTTCCTTACCTCCCACAAGTCGCCGAAATATGCAGCGGGGAAGGAGGGGGGGGGGGAGTCACGTGAGGGCGGCGAAAGAACGAGAGGGAAGAAAAACAACAGCACATATATTTCCTTCCGGGACCGCGGGTGAATTCGAACCTCACCGTTGGAACCGACGGCAAAACATGTTGAGTCAGCATGTTGCCATGCAAGGGGAAAACGAAATGTACTGTTATACGAGAGGAGAGAGCAGCCCCCCCTCCCACCATACCCCCTTTGTCCCCTCCTTTTCCAGTCGATGCCCTCGTTGAGTCAACTCGAAAGAGTCACGCTGTAATGGAAAAGTTATTTTCTGAATCCGCGAGAACTTACCTCGCTTTTCTTTAGAAGTATGAATCCACCTCTTTAGTTTTTACTATTTTTTTGTATT